TGAGTTAAAAGAAAAAAAACAGAAGTACTCACCTATGTCACTCATGAACTCAATGGAAATGGTTCATTGGAATGGCTTGAATGGAGTAGGCTGAGGGGACAAGAGGGTATAAAAAGTTTGAGAAAATACAATAAAATATAATTATAGAAACAGACTTAATAACTTCATCTATGCTTACAGTCACAGATAGGGGGTTATAAGGTAAAGAACTTTGATATAGGTAATAAAGATGAATAATAAGATAAATAAAGACAGTAGATAAAGAAAGTTAGCACTGTAATATGTTTTCATGCTACTAGGGATGATCCAATATCTAGGATGTAAATTTTTTTTTTTTTAGATCTGAGAAGCTATTATCAAAAATAACGACGTTGATTTTACACACTGGATCTTTAATCATCTTTTTTTTTCCTGAAAGGAATTATGTAAAAGTACTTGCTTTCTCTGAAAGCCACTCCTACTTGGTGGCAATAAGAACATTTTATCTGAACCTATTTCTGTAACAGAATAGGGAGGAGGACTGCTGAGTAGATTATACAAAGCTGTGTCATTGTCATTGTGTGACAAGGCAGTCCTGGTGGGCTGGCAACATGGTGTCCTATCTCCACCTGCTGCCCTGCTAATTTCAGACTCCACCAATATCCATGGGGTTTGGTGGGTGGGGGTGAGGAATGAGGGAGCTGCAGGAGACAGTCTGTAGGGCTAGCCCTACCAAACAAATGAAAAATAGCTACAATGTGGAAAAGAGAGATGGAGGAAAGTAGTGAAATGTGTCTATTTCAAGATCTATAATTATGCAAAAATTTATTTTGCTTCCATTTCAACATACATTCTGATCTTATAGCTCATCTCTAACTTATTGCATCTGGCTTTCACCATCCTATCTACGCTCAACTCAGGCCACGGACCACCTACACCCGCATGTCTTCTCCATTCCTACTCTTCTTTGATGCATAATGGCTTTCTATTTTAGGATGTGGAAATGATGTTTTCTCACCTTCTCCTTCCGTGACAACATGTTGCATCCTAATGCTCCCACCAGTGGACTCTCCACCTTCTTTCTTTCAGACTTCTCATGTAATTTCGTAGACAATTGGGCAGAACTATTGCATTTAGTTTTAGTAGATAAATAAGTAGAAATCCTCGAACATAGCACACTGCCAGTAATCGAGCAGTCGGTAAGCATTACTTAAAAGAATGAGTCATAAATTTCAAGAGAAGCAAACTTCGGTTTAATTTGAGGCAGCTCTGCACCCAATACAGAACTAGATTCTTCTTTCAAAACAGGAAAGGTTTTCATCATGGACTACTAAGTCCCAGTTTGTTATAATAGGGATTTCTTCACCAAATAGGCAGTTGGTCTGAAATATGCTCAAGACTTTCTCAGTATCTTAAATGCAGAATTACTGGATTCATCACCTACTTATCACTGAAGTTGAGTCCTAAGTCTGTGTTGCTTATGGAGTTGACTTGCTTATAGTAAAATGACTTACTTTTTACGGAAGATATTTGTCCTGTACCAAAATAACCTCACCTTAAAAAAAAAAAAAAAACTCAACCTGTTTAAGAATTCAACCAGCTTTGGCTGGAGGAGGCTATTGAAATAGCTGAGATAAAGGACAGGACTGCAGAGGCCCCCAACATAGCAAGTGCAACTGAGATGGACACTAGCTCAGCCATTCAAAATAAGGGGGAGTTATTGGTTCTAGATCTGATCCAGAGAGAAACTCAAAGGGACTGACACTAGTAGAACAAACAACTGGTAGAACAAAGCTAGAAGAGAGGCTTTGCTTCAGGAGGGAGGGTTTTGCTTCAGGAGAAGACTTTTTGGAGGAAAAGGAGGCTGGCTATTTCAAATTCAAAAAAAGAAAAAAAGAAGTCGATTGCATGGCTCTTAGCAAAATAGTGAGGAAATATTATCTTGAATCCAGCTGACAGAAGTGGATCAAAGTAAACCTACTACATGTCTAGGAAAAGGAATGATGTTTTGTGTCCTTAGCTTTTGCCTGCTTTTCCTTTGTTTTATGTCTTGGATTTTTCTATTGATAAATGTGCTTTAATTCTATAAGCCTATTTAGTTTGTTTTTCTCTGCATCATTAATATTTAATTCTAGGAACATTCAGAAATGTCTGATATGGAGTAGATGCTATGCAAGTTGCTGTAGTCTAAAAATGTAGTTTAAAGATCTAGATTTTTCCCTTATGGACCCAGTAGCCTACTGGGTGGACAGACATGGTAGTGGCAGAGGGTGATTAAAAGGCAAAAGCTTTGGAATGAGACAGAGATTTACATTCTTATTCTATCACATATCATCTGTAACGACTAAGGTGAGTAAAATAAATTCTAATCTTTAGGTTCCTTATTTGTAAAACTTGAATATGTCTTATGAGTTGCTGTGAAGATTAAATGAGGTTAAGCCTGGGTATTCTTAAAGCAAAAGAAAGTACCCAGCAGACAACATTTTCTTTACTAAGGTGTAAGCTACTATGACCATTTCTACCAACACAATTACTCTGAAAAAAAAAATGCTACAGTGTCATTTGTGTATACTACAACTAACATCTTCGGGGATAGGATCAGATAAAGTACCAGGAGAAATATTTCTAACTCAGATCTTGAAGAACTAATTTAATTACCTTATGGGATAGTAGAAAAAGGCATTCCCAGCCAAAAAAAGAAAAAGAGAGAGAGAGAGAGAGAAAAAATGTTTGGGAGATTTAATTTGCAAAACTTAGTATTAGAAGATAAGGCTTAGAAATTTCCACATCGCAGACGTAAAAAGCTAAGCCAAATAGTTATCTGCTTTCCCTCTGAACTGTATTCTGCTCTCTGCCCTGGGAGCTGGCCTGCAGGGGAGTATCCAGAGGTTCTCTTGTCTTCTTGCTTCCAGTTGGGACTAGCCATTGGAAAGCTGCAGGATGTATCAGAGGGAGGGGCAAGAGAAATAAAGACATTTATTTATCTGGTGACTTTCCCCTAGAGACAGATAATTACAAGAGGGCTCTGTCCATGCACCAATAGCTACTACTCCTGCCATATCACCTGTTCTACCTCTGAGTCTCTTTCTTTCAAGATTCTAGTAAACTCTCCTTTACCTTCTTGCTTTGGGCCTAAGGTTGACAACAATAATTTCCCATGTGAAGTACTTCATTCACTGTAATTCTGAGATATTTTGTTTGTTTGTTTATGTTTTAACTCTCTCAGAGGTTTTCCAATTTGAGTATACTTTTTAAGAGTTAATTGATAGAGGTATTGATTGTTGTATTAAGACTTTATTCAAACTGGGTACATGGCATATAACTATAATCCCAGTGATTCAGGAGGCTGAGGCAGGAGGATCACAAGTCCATGGTCAACCTAAGCAATTTAGCAAGAACCTAAGAAATTAAGCAGAACCCTGTCTCAAAATAAAAAAATAAAATAAAAGGGAAGAAGATGTGGCTCAGTGGTAGAATATTCCTGGGTTCAATTCCCAATACCAAAAGGAAAAAGACTTTACTAATTTGTTCATTTATTCTATTATAGAACAAAGATCTGTTGAGTAATTATTAGCATGCTACTAAACACCATTTCTGGTCTCATGAAATTCACAGTCTAGTGTGAGATATATGTGAGTAAAAAACAATGACAATATAGTACAGTAAAGTTTAAAATTCTTTATTTCACTATGTAATCTTACAGAGAAAAGACACATGACCTGAACATCATTATGCTGTGGGAAAAAAGTCATTGAGCATAACAAAGATGAGGATATAGAAATCTTGTATATAACAAGGTGGTGCTAAACATTGTCAATGAAAATGCATAACAGCAAGTAAAGCACAGTGATTTTAGATGTACACAATTTATCCAAAAGATTATTCACAGAACCCCTGGGATCAGAGTGGGCCATTACATCATGGCCTGAACTGATTTGCATGTGGTTTTGTTTTAAGTGGATTTGGCCTCCTTGGATGGTGTTATTTTGGATCCTCAATCATTTGAAAGGATCTGGGTGACAAAGTATAATCTGAAGTCATCTTACTGTTAGATTTATATTATATATTTCAGAAACAATAGTATTCTGATTTCCTGCTCCTATACCATATTTCTCTCTTAAATGTTTCAAATTAATGATTAAGACCTCTATGAGTGAGATTCCTCAGAGTAACAGAATCACTAGAATGTAGAAGTAGAGAAAGACTTATTTTGAGGAAATGTCTACTGTGTTCTCAACTTCATAGTGCAGACAGGCAGGCTGGAGAACCAGGAAAGGAAGATTCTGTGACATTATGTCTTGAAGACATGTTGGAGACAGATCTCGTTCTTCATCTGGGGACTTAGTGTTTTCTCTTAAGGCTTTGATTTATGGGATGAGGTCCATCCATATTATGGAGGATAATCTGCTTTATTAAAAATGTACTATTTGATCTGGGTGTGGTGGTGCATGCTTGAATTCCCAGTGGCTCCAGAGGTTGAGGCAGGAGGATTGCAAGTTAGTTCAAAACCAGCCTCAGCAATTTAGTGAGGCCCCAAGCAACTTAGTGAGAACTTGTCTCAAAATAAAACATAAAAAGGGCTGAAGATGTGGCTCAGTAGTTAAGCACCCTGGTGTTCAATCTCTGATACAAAAAAAATTAAAGAAAAATAATCCTCATAGCAACATATATATTGGTGTCTGACCAAAGAACTATATATCATCACAGCACCCAAAGCTTCCACATTTCCACCTACTCCGTTGCACACCTTTAGCATTCCAATCCCATCAGCAGCCCCAAATATCACTTTCTCAAAGGGCATCAAGGATTTCCTTGTTATTAAAAGTCCAGTGACTTTTTGACTACCGTGGGCCTTTTGGTAATTTCTTACTGTTTCTTTCTGTTGATTTCTAGAAAATGCCAGGTTTTGTTTTTTCCTCTATGTCTGACCAGCTGTGAGTATGTCCCAAAGCTTAGTTCTTAGTTTTGGTTTTTCCTCTTCTAATTCTCATTCTTGAAAAACACGTTTCGTGTACTAGTTTCAACTGTTGGATTTGTGCCTGTCAGAAGGAAATTTTTTATGTCTTGACCTCTCATCTTCGAGAGGTTTTTTTGTTATTACTCTTCTTTGTCCATTGCGGACAGAATTTTTGTCAGTCACTTTTTATAGTCTCCTCTATCTTGAAATTTGGTATAAGACTATCCTAACTTAAACAACATTGATTATATCTCTCTATCTCTTCTGATGCAAAATCACAATCATTATTAATCGAATCTAAACACTTTATGTATTTCTCAAGGTCTTTTATAATTTTTCCAAAGGTCTGATTTTTTATTCTTTTACTTTATAGTTTGCTATGATTTGGAAAATCTATTCACTGTCGTCAAATCATTTTATCCAGTTCCAATTAGGTAATCATGTTATGCTGGATGCTAGGTGCTATGGTTTTAATATGTCCCTTCCAAATTTCATGTTGCAATTTAATTGCTCTGCAGCAAATCAGCCCTCACCAAATATAACCCTAGGATCTTTGCCTTCCTAGATTCTATGATCAGAAGCCAAAGAAAATATGATTAATAATTTCCCAGTCTGTTGTAAATGGTTATAGTAGCAGGGGAAAAAAACTATAAGACCACTGGGAATACACAAATGAATGGGAGGTGGTTCCTGTCCCTTGGGTTCTAACAGGAGCAGGCCAGTACAAGTGTGCAGGAGGCATGCATTGAGCTTATCTGCATACAACTCATGCTAATGTAATTTAGCCCATGACTAAGTATTTTAGTAGTTGCATAAACCAGGTTTAGGTGTCAGGTGACTCTTCTGGTGGGGGAGTAAGATATAACATTAAAGTCAACAGAGGGATCAATGTGTGGCCCTCTAAATAAACCTTAGCTTTTCCCCCTCTCTCCCCTACAATCTCAGTTTTCACTAGCCCTGTGTTATTATAATAGGTTAAAGAGAGTCAGCTTTGCAACAGCTCTAGAGGGATCAGGCTGAACTGCAGGGGTCACAGTTTATGAATGGCTATTCAAAATTGTGTGGTTCCAAATACACAATGACACTAAAGTCTGAGAAAGCTCAGCTCTTTCTCATCTGTCTCAATAAGGATTCCCTCATTCAGAATCCTTTACTTCTCCTGCCAAGCATTTAAATTTAACCTGTCCTTCAAGTCCCAGCTCCATAACTATGACTTCCATGATAACTTTTTGTTTGTTTGTTGCCTGATTAGTCTGTCTGCCATTGATCTTTCCCTGGAATTGTACATTTTATTTAATATTCAATGATTTTTTAATGTTATCATTTGTAGTTTTATGTGTTAGTTTTATTTGTTCTGTCTAGGTGCTAAATACTCTTTTAAGACAAGGAATATGTCTTAAATTTATTCTTTTGATTTATTTTTGTTTTTGTGGTACGAGGGTTTCAACCCAGGACTTTGTGCAAGCTAGGCAAGAACTCTGACACTGAGATATATCCCCAGTCCCTTGACTTTATTTTAACATTGTTAGAATAATGGTTTGCAAGATACATAAAAGGCATTTATTAGCTAACTAGTTATCTAGTTATGTTTTTGTATGGGAGAAATGGTCAGGATTGTAGAACTGATAGTTACTGTACTTCTAGTATGTGCAAGCTATGATTGCAAACATGCAAACATTCTCTCTCTCTCTCTCTCTCTCTCTCTCTCTCT